ATCATGATGTAATCGCTTTTCCTTTCCGAATACTGGACTAATTGCTTTGAAATTTTCAGTGGTTAAAGATTAATTTTTTTGCCAGAAAGCTATTTATTACCTTTATTTATTACGAAAATTTCTGTGAACTTCAAGAGATTCTAATTTTATTTGTCAGAATAAAAAATAGCGACATGTTGTGACGTGTCCATATATTTGAGCACAGCTCTCTTGTTGGACACGTAGTGGACATAACGATCGTTTCAATATTATGTTGTTGTTGTTGTTGTTGTACTTGTTCTTGTTCTTATTCTTGTTCTTTGACACGTTTTTAAAAAGTCGCTTTTCTCTTTGATTACTGGACTAATTGCTTTGAAATTTTCAGTGGTTGAAGATGAAATTTTTCTCCAGAAGGCTATTACTTTTATTTATTTCAAATATTCTGTTAGCTCTGTAAGATTTGTTTTTGTTTGCTATGACGTCACTAAACGTTCTGCGGATATCGGACGCCATTTTGTGTCCAACGGATCATCTTGCAATTTCAATTCACGCTGTCACAAGACAGGACCTTATAAAGATAGAGAAGTTCTGGTACCGTAACACCGCGCGGTGACACTGAACTAACTCGTAGCTGTCAAAAGCTTGAAAATCCATACAAATATAAGAGATAAAAAGATGAAACTTGGCAGGTGGGTAGAGTTGTGTTTCTTTTAACCATATTTGAAGGTTTCGCGTTTCTACATTTGAAGGAGGGGGAATAGGGGGTGTGCATTTCCGATACGTCGATAATATCTTTGTCAACCAATTTGCGACCACCGTGTTTTCGTCTGTTTGATTGCTGTGATGTGGTGCTTTGTTCATAATTTAACGAGTTTTGTTCGAAATAACCGTGTTCTTGAAATATATGACGGTCAGAAATGCAATTAGAAGCCCAATGTTTTCACGCTGTCAAAAGACAGGAACTTCTAAAGATAGAGTAGTTCTGGTACCGTAACACAGCGCGGTGACACTGAACTAACTCGTAGCTGTCAAAAGCTTGAAAATCCATACAAATATAAGAGATAAAAAGATGAAACTTGGCAGGTGGGTAGAGTTGTGTTAACCATCTTTAATAATTACTTCTCTCCCCCGGGCTAAATATGTAAATCCTATCCTAATACGCCGATAATATCTTTGTCAACCAATTTGCGACCACCGTGTTTTGTCTGTTTGATTGCTGTATGGCTGCGTATGCGATAGTCTCGACGCAGCAGAAACGATTATCAAGGCTTGAAATCCGTGGTCGCACACTGGTCGTTCGGTCGCAAATACGTCTTTCGAGTGCCGTACTTTGGGGATTTGTATAGCTTTAACCCTTTGTCGTAGAAAGTTAATACGAGGTTTAGCGTGTAGAATAAATGCCGCCAATGCACCCACAGTGAAAAAATTAACGGGTTAGATATATTGGTTTTTGTTTTATAGCGGTTTGAATGAAATTGTCCGCAGACTGGCTACACCACCCTAGGCCTGGTGAGTTGTCCGTGTAGTCGAATTGTCCATCAGCCCTAAACGGCTATGACAGTCACTGTACCAAAAATTGTACCCCGATTCGGGTGGTGTTAAGTTGACGCATGTTATTTAGTAACGTTTTTATGTGAAATGTTTGACTGTGGTTCGGTACCTGATCCGATAATACGGTACATAATTGACTCATATCACGAGATATTTCAACTGATGTTTCAATTGTCACAGGACCTAAAATATCTATGACAGTCCCTGTACCGTCACGGTACCCCGATACAGGTACTGGTAAGTCACCGCCGGTATGTTAGTCGTTGGTCACCGCATATGATTTTTGGGGAATTGTTCTGCGTGTCCATATATTTGAGCATTGCTCTCTTGTTTTTGAATCAGAATGTTTCGATTCGAATATTTCCGAATCTGATGAGATTTAGTACAACAGATGACCGTACATTTGAACCCACGTACATTTGAACCCATGTGTATATCCACGGGTTCAATCTATATGCGGGTGCTAAAACCCATGTGTTAGGGTTAGTGTGAAAATATATCTATCCGAAGATCTATCCGAAAAACAAAAAAAAAGTCCATAGGTGCAATAGCATACAGGTGCAATTGCCATGGATTCAAATGTACGTGGGTTCAAATGTAATGGAACCAGTACAACATCATATTTGCTAGAATATCAGTGATTGCCAACCTCTCTACCCTGTGTTGGGCAATCCCTATGCTTTTGAAAAAAGGCACACCTAAAAACATTTCACCTAAAATAATTACCTAAACTCTTGAGGTGTTCCTAGTACTTACTTTGTTTTCTTCTGAATGCTTTCAGGTGGTGAATGATATTCTGTTGCAATATTAAATACCTGATTTTACTTCTTTCAGAGTTTCTGGTTTCGATTCAGCTCTAACCCAGGGGTGGGCAAGATTTTTGCAACAGGGGCCAAAAATTTTGCCCACTCAGACTGGCGGGCCATGTAAGTGTGACGTAAAAAGTTACATTTTATTAACAATATTTACTCGCGAAAGTAAAAGTGGAAAACAATAAGCCTCGTGCCAAAATTTAATTTAATCGCAATCCCAACAACTTCCATGAGTTTCAATGGCCTAAACATCAAAATTTGGTTTTAGTTTGTTTGTGGCAGCATCAGGCGAGCCAGATTGAATTACCCAATGAATCGGATTTGGCCCACGCGGGCCGTAGTTTGTCCATGACAGCTCTAACCTGTCCGCCTCGCAATGTTAGGCATTTTCTATATGCAATTATTTGTTTTAGGAAAAGCTGTTTTGTAGTCTTTCGATATAGTAAGTAGTGTAGATTGGTGCACACTACAGTCATTCAGACCATTCTATAAACGGCCTTTTGGTAATTGGCATAGGGAAACTGCTTCAAGATCAAGAATACTGGAAAACTGAAGGAAATTTATTTCATTGACAAATTGGGAACATTAGAGCCCCTAGGAATGAATATACTATATGGATAAACTACCTTTTTATATATTAATTTGAACATTATATACCGTTGTTCCCTCAACAATGATCTTTACTTCATATTAGAGTAATTATGTTTGACAAACAGTTATCCACCCATGGTAGCCTTGACCCCAACATGAACTTCACGAGCGCAGCTGTCTGTGTTCTTGGAAACAGTGTGGCATTGTTTACTTTACCTTTTTATTCTCCCTTACTGAACTGTGGGAACATTCATTGATTGACATTCAAACTTGGGTTCCTCCAGTGTCCACAATTTTATTTCTCTTTTTTGAAAACATACCCAATAACTGATAACAATTATTTATGTGCATGCTATCTATTTTCTTGTCATATGGTTAAAAAATGCTTGTCTGAAGAAGTCTGATCTCTGTCAGACAAAACGCTACAAAATACATTTGTGTTATTGAATTAGATGGAATAGTCATCTTTATTATTTCCACAGCCTCCTTGCTGTATACCCATGCGGATCTATTTGCGCGAAGCTTAGACCAAGGAAAGGTAGTTGGTATCGCATGACCCTAACTGAAATAATACATAATCACCAAAATTGTAGGTTAAATTTTAATTTTGTCAAAGTTAGGCACAGCAATTTTTTCCAACTGCGGGACAGCAATTTTTTATTTTGCTATACTCACCAACGGTATTTTACTGATGTAAGACAGTTGTCAGTAACCTGCCAACAATAGAGTTTAACATCACAATAAACATTCAAGTGAGAAGAAGAACGTGGCAGCACTATTCTTTGCTTTTTCTCCTCCTAGAATTAAATCTAGATACTTGTTTTTAAAAATATTCATACTCAATGGCAATTGTATTTTTCGAAATTCGACGAAATTGCAACAATTTAAAAGCTCAAAAATAAATAGCACCAAGATGGCGCACAACCTGAACATAGTATGTGTACCAGGGTAGGGTTGAGGTTTTGCGTCATCTTGGTGCACATACTTCCGGAGTGCCAGACTGTCTAATTGGTTCAAAGCATATTTCAATATTTTCAGGGTAACATGAGTTTTAGAAATTTAAAAAATATATTTAATTTCCAATCACCAATGAATATTTTGAGGCGCTAGGTTTCTGCCTGCCTTGCATATACAGTAGGCAGTGCTGGATTTACCATTAGGTAAGGTAGAATAAAGCATAGGGGCCTCGGCATACAATTTTGACCTATTATTCATTGTAAGACGTTTTCAAATGACAGATGTTTGTTACAGAAATAACAGTTTCATAAAACTAACATTTGTCCTATTTTATATTCTAGTTAATGTTATTTTCTAATATGTTAATTAAGGTTAAAAAAATGAATAGATCGAATAAGCGAACTTGTCTAAATTTAAAAACTCCACCCCTTTAACCATAAAAAAACAAAATATGCTAATTCAGATTAGTTGAACAGGTTCTACCATAACAATGCCTCTATTTTTTGAAAAAAATACGTAAAAATCGAAAATTTTTATTAGTAATTGGGCCTTACTCCCCATGACATCGGATTTTCTGGTGTCGCGACGTCTTATTACAGCTTTGAGATTCTTAATTCAATTTACTATCCAATATAATTGGGATTAGTGTTCGTATCTGGTCTTCAATTTATATTTCGTATTTCCCGCTGGTTTGAAATTTTATTTATGACGTCCAGCATCCAACATTCAATACTTATAGCTGAAATCCTTCTTGATCATAGCGTGAAAACGCATATCGTGCCTAATTGCATTACTAGGATTAGTCAGTATAAAAATAAAAAGTAGTTCAGTTTTAAAACTGTCCGTTTGAAACTTCATCATTAACAACATTACCCTTGTTTCGGAAAACGCAATCGTATTTGATCAATAGTTTGTGAATAACTCTGTACTTTACACGTCGTGGGCTGAATCAGTTGAGTTTTTTCAAATGTTGAGGATAGTGTATGTCGCATTTGGCAGTGCTTTTTTATAACTAACGTAGTATAATAATTGTAAAACGCCTGTATCGATTACTAAATATCGATCACGCCAAATTAGGAAACAACATGTCAATATTGTCGAAGACTGACAAGCGGAAATCCGTAATGCCAACAAGCGAAACCCAGCAGGCAAGCTCTTTAACATGTGCCGCAGTAGTTTACTCTTGCTTGTAGCTTTGGGCCAGCTACGATTGTCTTATTGTATGGCTTTACCTCAGTACTTTGTTGCAACTCTGATTAATTTGGCGCCATTGTGAAATTCGCACCCTAAATCTGAAGAATGCGAAAAACCAGCATGGGATCGACTGAAAAGATGAGGCGGTAACACCGAGATTGCTAACGATTTGATATTTTTAGCGACCCATCTGTATCGAGTAAAACAAAGGAGGAAAAACGGGAGAGACAAAAAAAGAGGAAGAGGACCATGAAAGATATTTCCGATTGTTGTCAATGCGTAATACAAAGAATTGTGTGGGGTGCGCAAGATTTTATTAAGGGCTACAGAACTAAAAGAGATGCAGAGGCGTGAAATTTTCAGCTATGTTTATAAATGGAAGAATATTTAAATAGAAAGAAGTGAAAAAAAATCAGAATATGAAGAATAGCTAAAACACTACGCCTTCTTCTCCGTAATATATCACAGCGTGTTTCTTTTTTAAAGTCAACATTCCTTTTACAATGGTCTTAACGCTTGCAAAATCTTTGCGGATCGGATCATATGCTGCTGTTTTCGTTTTCACCTTATATGGTTTTATACATGGGAAATTTTCTTCTGAAAAACTATGGTATTTGATTGATAACCAGAAAAATGTACAAAATCAACAAAATACCAGGAAATTCGAACAGCAAAAAGTAAGTGAGCTTTGGATAATTTGAGTCAGGTATGTTGATTGACTAAACAATGAAACACAATTTTTGTTGCTGGTTTCTATTTATTTTCGGGGAATTTTTTTTTTTTTGTGGGAAATTGTAGCATGAACTTTCATTATAACATAGCCTGATGTTATTTCTTTAAATATTTTGATAATCCACAGATATACTCCTACAAAAACATGTTAAATCACTTTTGAGCAACCAAAAAGAGATTTTGTTTCTTTATTCCGAACTATAGACTTAGTCGATTTCACGAATAAGTGCTCATATGTCGTCACAAATCGTTCTGTCATTGTACTGCCATTTTTAACGAAAGTTTATAATTCATATGCTGCGTTAGTGTATGAATTAGTAAAATTTAATTTTAATATTTGGGTAAAAATTTTAAATTGATTGGTTCATTAGTTGCAATGAAAATGAAGTGGAACAGTTAACTCGAAGATAGATTTTCACTCTAAAAATTATTCTTGAATTGATCTGTGACATTTCTCTAATCGTTTTCTTGTTTTGATTATACCCATCAGCATTTATTTGAAGTATTTTTTTTCAATTAATCGATGCGAATTCGCGTGCTATTAACTAGTGAGAGGAAATTGTGATCGTGAAATATTATTGTCTCTCTTATAATAAAGACCAAATGAAGATTTATGAAGTATGTTAGTAAATCCGAAGCAAAAGTGCATGAGTGTGTGCATGTGTTTGGATGGATAACAATAGCTATTTTCTCCATTCTAATCATTAGAAACTTACTATTATAGGATAAAATGAGCGGAATTGTTAATCAAAACGGAATTTTTTCTTGAAAAAACGTTAGAACTTGTATATTCCATAGTATACAATTAACTTTAAATAAATTTATCGCAGATTGTTCTATTTTGGCATACCGAATTGCCAGATAAAAGTGTGCAAGAAGATCACATGGAGAGTATCAAGAAATATATTGCTGAAGCACATACATTATACAGCCCGATTGACGAATGTGGCAACTGTTCATTTACTATAGACATGTCCAAGGTATCCAATTTATCATTCTACACAACAACATGTTCACATAGAAATTGTTAAACGAGAATTCGTAATACTTTACTATACTCGTAATATTTGTATCAAAGAATTGGAATCTTATACAGGGTGAACCCAACAAATCAGAACACATAAATTTATTAATTGCTCCTACAAAAATAGAGAAGATTTCTTTGATTTTGTTTACACTTGAACTTCTGTTTGTGCATGATTGTACCCGTAAAAATAAAGAATCTAGGATAATTTGTACAAAAGTGATGTCTCTACACATTAGAACATTGGTTCTCAAACTGAGGTCCGCGATCGCTTAGAGGTCCGCGAGGCCATTTTAGGTGGGGCGCGAGACAACTTTAACCTCGGCACAGAAGCACTTTGATTTGGAATAAAATTTTGATGTCATGCTTTCACAGTGTTTCTCCAAAGCACGACATGCTCTACCAAAGACATTATTACGTAACAAACGTTGGTTAACGTGGCAAGTACCGTAAATCAGAGCGTATTGTTTATGAAGGCGTGTGCAACTGATTGTAAATTTTCTCGGGATTATTTAAAAATACCCCCCGCCAAAAAAATCTATTTAGATATAACGATTCATATGTGAGATTTAGTTTGCTGTGATAGGTCCGAAGGAAAAGAGAAACCACAGCGTCACCGTTCTATCCCGATGTCATTAAGATGACACTAAAATGCTCTTTCCATTTGCAACAACTTACGAATGTAAAACAGATTTTTATACGTTACTCGCTATTTATACAAAATATTGAAACAGAATGCTCGTGAGACACGATATGAGAGTTGCATTATTTTTTGAAACATAACCCAAGGTAGAAGAACCAATGGGAGCCAAGCAGGCGCAGCCATCTCATTGAACTGTTTTAATGCCATTCAATAGATGAATGTTTGATATACCGCGTTGTTATTTGCTTTCATTTCTTTAGTGGACCGCGAGTTATCAGAAAAATTGAAAGGGGACAGTTATGCACAATTTTTCAAAAACGTTGAGAACCACTGCATTAGCTTATGTTCCAAATAATCTTCTAAGCTTGATAGCCAAACTTGCACAAAATTGTCAGTCGCTCACACGCAATCCTCTATGAGGTTTTTTTCTGATTTTTGCTGCCATTGCAGTTTTGAGTTCACGTTTTAAGAATGTTTTAATACGTATTCTCTTTCGTTGGAACATATCCTGAAATATACTGGAACTTTTTTGGTATAAATATAAAAGAAACCAAATTTATTTTAATTAAATATTTAACAAATTTGTGGGTTCTGATCTTTATTATTTTATCTTCGTTTAATTTTTAATTTGAAAAATATCACTGATTATATGAAACTATTAATAATAAAAACGTAATAATAATCTAATTTTATTTACTGGAATTTCAGATAACTGATAACAACACCGCTGCAGTCATATTTCTGTATAAATTTGTGGAACCCGGTAAAATGCCAATTAAACGGTAAGTATCAGTAGAGATTACTCGAGACTAACTACCAATCCTTTATCAATGACTTTGCGCTACTGGATCCGTTGCGAATAATGCAACGATGCTTTGGCATGAATAAACATGGCCATACTGTGCGATTGCAATTCACAAATGCACACTAACACAAATGTATATCTGTAACGTTTCGTCTGACCAAAATCAGATTCCTCGGGCAAGTGTGTGTAGCAGGACTCTTGAATTGCATAGTATGACAGTAACTTATTTCCATATTATCATATGTGGGTTAAAATACTATAATTATACAACTAAAGGCATTATCAGTGGGTTAGAAAACATCGCAAGTATCGGACATATGTCATATTTGCTTGTCAGTACAAAATCTTAAGCCGAGTAAAGAGAAATAATTTTAAGACTGATTTTTTGTCAGACGAAATGATCAACTCTATATATATTGGACGAAAGAAAGTCCTTCCACTCTGAAATATTATCATAACGAAACATTCGATTTCGAGGAATCCATAAAGTTCAACAGTACCATGGGATACAGGTATGAGTGCTATACAAAATACATAGAGAGTGATATTTGAGACGGATTAAGATTAATAGAGTACTCTCAGATAAATAGAATAAATTAATTATGATAATTTACTTACCTCATCTTTTCCACAATTCGAACGAAAGACAGCCAAAACAAACTAAAATAATTAACAGGATTGAAACATATCAATATGGTGATTCGTAACCCCGGAGTTGACAAAATTAATTTTATCTCTATCTTATTCTTCAAACTTAACTAAAAATCCTTGGGGTAATAAAAATTTCACAAATGCAAAGCAAAGACAATAAAGTAGTTGGCTGATTATCTGCTTCTTTTATACAAAAATTTATTTGTTTTCGTTGCTTTTTCACCCTCGCATTATTACTTATCGATCTTAAGATCGGTAAGTATGTTGATAGGTATTTGTCTGTCTGTATGTCTGTTTGTTTGTCTGTTATATGAACGCAATATTTCAAGAAGGCGAGGTTGAATCTGCATGTGCATTCATCATATATCGGACCAGAAGCCTATTGATTTTGGATGAATTATGTCGTATAATTGGCGAGTTATTAATTAATTAGTGATGGGACACGCGGTGTCACTATAGAGTCATGATTCAAAACCGCAGTTTCGATCGATAAGCCTTCGATCTCCGACCGATATTCTCGTTTGATATTCAATTGATTTTGGATATTGTTATCAACATTACATGGTTAACAAACAAAAAATATCATTGCAAAAGAATAATGCAAGCATGAGTAAATTTGGATCTCCGAAAGAAAAATACATTTCATCCACAGCCATCATCCGATTTATTATTTTAACAGGCGGAATTCCGATATATACACTCCTTTTTTAACAAGTGTCTACAGAACACTTCAGATAAAAGATTTATCTGATAATAATGTAACATGGATACCAATGACTAAAAACAAATGGGCGGCAGCGGTTATCTCGAATTGTGGAGCAACACCAGCTGCGGTCTATCGGCACAAATTAGTCACAAAAATTTCAATCTTATCTGAAGGACGATTAAAAACATTTGGAAAGTGTTTTAGGAAGCAAATATCAAGAAAGATGAATTCCATTCCCAATCTTTTGAAGTCTTACAAATTTTATTTGGCATTTGAGAATTCATATCACTGCAGAGACTACATAACAGAAAAATTATTTCAAAATGCGTTTCATGGAAACACTGTGCCCGTAGTATGGGGAGCAACGAAAGCCGACTACACATCACTGGCTCCACCTGGATCTTTCATATTTGCTGAAGATTTTAATTCGGTGGAAGAACTTGTAACGTATTTGAATTATTTAGACAGGAATGACACTGCTTATTTAGAGTATTTCAGGTATAAACACTAACAATATTACTGACACTATCATATTGAAATTGGTATATCGAATTAAGTCAAATCCGACACCCATAATCGGATTCAAAGCTAAGACATACTCAAAATGCATGCATAGGCTAGTTACCTATCGATCTTAAAATCGGTAAGTATGTTGGTAGGTATTTGTCTGTCTGTCTGTTTGTTTGTCTGTTAGATGAACGCGATATCTCACGAAGGCGGGGTTGAATCTGCTCCAAATTTTGCATGTGCAATTACCATATCTCGGACCAGAAGCCTATCGATTTTGGGGCGTGTCTCATCACTAATTAATCAATAACTCGCTAATAATACGACATTATTCATCCAAAATCAATAGGCTTCTGATCCGAGATAATGACCTAATATAGTACTCCTAGTAGTACCGATATGCATCTGCTGGCAAATTTGTATTTTATTTTCAGATGGCGAACGATGAGAGTAGAAAACTTTTCAATTGTTAAACAAACAAAGGATTTATGTCAACTATGCAAAATCATTCAAGGAAAAGCCAAGTATAACATTTCCGATCCAAACCATGTTTCGAAATTTTTATCTGGACATAATTCTCTCAGATCCCAAACATTACAGAAAAAAGTAACATCACTAAAAGAATGGTTTTTTGAAGAAGAGAATAAGGAATGTTTGAATTTTAGAGGGAAAAGTAATTTTCAATAATTTATGATGATTTTATTTATTTATGAATTTATGAACTATCAATTTATATTGGACAATTGCATATGACACTATTGTCGTTAACTACGTTAATTTTTTAATTATTTTATACAAATATTTACCCCTTATTATCAAAAACGTATTCGAATAGTTTTTTTTTTTTATTATCAAACACTCCTTTATCTTTTTAGCATCCATTATAAATATAAATAATATCTAATATGGTATAGTCCAGATATTATACGGGAACGCAGCGGAAGCGTGCCACAATGACTCGAGTTTGACAGTCCAATGATTCGATTTACCGGCAACCAAAGCGACCGGAACATGCATTAAAAAATTCCATTTTTCACATTCACTTTGACAGGCGGTTTATTTTCCAGTGAACTATCTAAATAATCTTAATATAACTCTCCAAACTTCTTGGTTTAGTTTTGCTTTGGGTAAACTTAAGGAAAAAAAAGATTTAGATTTCATTCCTACCTTCGTCACAATAATAAACATTTAACAACGAAACGACAAACAAAACGTTAGACTAACTTTTAGTCCAATGTAAATTGCGAATTCGACGTCAAATTCAAATGCAACCTCAAAATCGACGACAGTTCAGGATAGTTACGTCATTGCAGGCTGTTATAAAAATGAACAAGCAGCATGGGTTGCAGAACGTAAGGCTTCACATACCAGAACTGTGGAGTCGGAACATGTGTCCCTGATTTTGAAACCAAAACTGGAGTCGTATTTTCAAACTCCCTGGAGTACGAAATCAGAGCCAAAGTCAAATATTGGTAATTCTCTGTTGTCGTAGTTTAAATTATACAATATCGACAATTGATTGATGTTCATTTACTACCAATTCCTTATATATGAACTATAATATATTTATTTTTTTATTCACGACTTCAAAAATTTTCCTTCTCAGATTTTCATTGCCGTTTAAAAAAATTAGCTTTGAATTTTCAGTTTTATAAGTGATCAAACAATATCATGACTAAATGAGTAACATAATCCACATATCACTAATCCTCATATAATGCAATACTTAAATACGAGGAAAAACAATATACTTGAGCAGATAACGTAACGTAACAATTATTGCAAACAATCAATGGTTAAAATAGTCATGCAGGATTCACGTTGGCTCTTGAGGAGAAAAAATATTCTATTTTAAATTCACAGACATTGCTATTAGCGGTCACATGTAGACGAGCAAAATATCCGAGGGCTTCCAAATGACAACCTGAAATGCATAATTCAAGTTTGTTTGAAAATAAGCTGTTTAAAGAATTGCAATAAAATGCTGCATTTCTAATTTATTTCAATTCTTTTTTAAGACATGAGCTCATTGTACACGAAATATGATTTTAAACTTCGATATAATTCCCAAAACATCGATAAAATCCGTTCAAATATCACATGCTTCTGTTTTCACATATGAGTTGGAAGGCCTTATGACGTTTATTCCATATTATTTGAATTGAATTCAAAAATTTAAATGAACTGCAAACCTATTATAAGCTTCTGAAATAAGCACCGAAAAATATTACTTGATTATATTGCATTATCTTTTGTGGATAAATATTTTGCCAATACATACAATTAAATAGGTTTTACTTTTAAAAAATCAACAACAATCACGTATATGTTGTTGTGGTCATAGTAACTTATTTTGAATGATAAATCTTTTTAAAATTAATGATACCAGAAACTATCTACATTGATGATTGAAAATGAAAAATATTTTTTATTTTGATTATTGTATTATATTTGGCATGTCATCAACAATGAGAGTCATCATGATTTTTATAAACATATTTGATTGATGATACACATTAATAAAACAAATAAGCAACAATGTCTGAACGTACAAAATCTTTCGAAAATAACTAGTCTCGCTAACGGTTGGAAACAACGACGTTTTTCTTTATTCTAGCAAAATATAACATTTTTATTATCAGTCAATGAATATTGTTAACTAATATTAAATGTACGAGAAACTCCGATAAAAAAATTTCTGTACTCCGTTTTACCATTAAAAGATGGAATGAAACACGCTACCGATACAAATCGACGATACTGTCACGTAAAGTATTGTTGTCACACATCGACTGGTACTAGTTCAACTGTTCCAAAATAATTCATATAAAAGTTGTTCGCTACTTTTAGCCATACAAAATATTCCTTATATTACGAATGTGGCTAATTTTATTTCTTGGTATTATAAAGGATTCCGTTCGTTTAAATCGGGTTTCCCAAAATTGATTGACCGCAGGCCGAAATTCGAAAAAGAAGGATATTCGCCGGGCAGCAAAGGGGAGCGGCAAAAAGGGAGCGAAAGCACGGCTGGGGTTCAGAAAGTTTTGAAAAATTGGCTGCAATCTTGATTTTATATACACCTAGCATCGCAGTTTGTTATGTAATAAAATTAATAATTATAATAATAAGTGATAGAACACCCGAGGAATAAATAACAAGCACGACTTTTAACAAGGAATTCGCAACTGGTAGTGACTAATGAAGTTACTTGCTCATCTGACATATGGCCTCGTATTAATGGCTACTTATGACTTCTTATGTTACACAAAAAACATCCCAATATATATAAATATAAAAAAACGAAATGCCAACGTAATTTAGTTTTGTATTTTGTAGGTACTCCTCATGCGTCCTCATTTTTGTAGGTACAAGTCATGCGTACCAAGATGGCGGACACCGTAACGTAGTATGTGTACCAGGTTAGGGTTAAGCCATAGGTTTATTCCAATTTTCCTTATTTTAGTTCTATTACGAGTTCGGACACTAGCCAAGTGCCTCCCGTAGTATTTGTACCTGGAATTATGGCGTAACCTCAACCTGGTACACATACTAAGTCCCAGCATTCCAGTTATATTATAATGAATAAATTTTGAAATACCATCATCAATTGATCATAATTTGAAGTATGATTAGCTTCATAATGGCGCCTCGTGTTATATTCCTTCAGAACTGGAATATTTTGTTGGCAAGGAAGAAAAATCGCTTAAAAAAAGTTTAATTCTTTTCAATGAAGAAATAAAAAACGCTACCATTTATCAAAAAAAACGTCTGTTTTCAGTCTCGCAAAAACATGAAGTGGTACCATATTAGTATTTATTTACGGTTAAAGTTTAAACCGTTCAACTATTTCACTTGAGTTCGGCGGGCCATTACAAGTCGTTACGCGGGCCGTAATTTGCCCGCGGGCTGCGGTTTCGGAACCTCAGGTTTAAATAATTTCTTTTCACCCCAATTTCCATTGGCATTACAATCGTTTCACAAGATTAACGGTTTGTTTTAAATCGGGAAGCAACCGTAATTATCAGTGAAATGTCTCGTACGATACAACGAATTAAAAAGTGAAAGTCATCGTGATTGCTGTGTTTTCTTTGATAAAATGTGATCAAGTTTTCGAAAACGAAAAATTCAATAAAATTAACAATAAATCTGACGATATAAAAGGGGGTGTTGTAACATGATAAGACAGTACTCGACTTTCTGAAAATGATCTCTGAGCTACATATAGCAAAAATTAAGATATATATACAGTAAATTCGTCTTCAATTGCCGAGTTTGGTGATTATGTTCAACTTGACAATTTATAAACCAGAATGGTTTGGATTTTAAACAAAAGATTGTAAATTTGTAGATCAGATTGTGTACATCATTCAACAATGTTTACACTTACAGTATATATATTTATATATACTACTAAACGTGTTCAATACACAAATACATTTTAGAGAGTAAGCGCTGACATGCTCAATGTGAAATTATAGACAGGAAAACGTTTGTAGACATCCAACAACGGTTATAACACTGATTGTAACGTTCAAAAACTTGTGGTAAATATAATGTATAGAAATACTATGACAGTGGCATGCTCATTGTAACTTTTAATATATATTGTAGATGCCCTTCATGTTATGACAAGATAGTTCACATACAGGGGTATGGTTTTGAAGATATATGAAATGATATTATGTTATAGTTTTTAACATAACATGTTTTTTTATAGATTCAATAGACTAATTTATCAACCGTCATACGAATTGCCATGAAGCTAATTCTTGTTGCAGCTATTTTGGCAATAACAGCCTTTGAAACCGATGCCTATCTTTGTGGGTTTTGCTTGAAACAATGGTGGAGTGGATGTCCATATGGATATTACTGCAAAGCTCCATATTATTATTACCCTTCTTACTTTAAACCATGTGGAAAATGCCTAGTGAGTCATCATATTATATTATAGTCCCCTGTGTGATATTCAGTTTTGAATCTATAGTAGCCAATATTTGACAAAACTATGGCTTTATATTTTATACATAAAAAAATGAATTGAGTAGAGATTGCTTTGAAAAGGAAATTATTCATCCATTAGTTCACAATTAAATATTGAAATGTATTTGGCTATCTCTTTCCGTTATATATAAACTAATACTAAAATAGCAAAGTTATGAAAAAATTAAACAATTTGTTCTTTTATAATTAATGCATAACATTTCATATTCGTGTATTTCAGCCAACCACGACGACTTCTACAAGTGCACAGACATCGCCAACAACATCTCCGACGACTGCAAGCACCTACTATCCATCTAGTCCCAATACAGAGATTCCGGATTATCGTAAAAAGTGATTAAAGCTGTCTACGGCGATATTGACAATATATATTCTTGAATGAAAATATATATGAAGAAATAGGTAGAAGAGTGAATTTTGTTTTTTTGCTGATATTAAAAATGTGATTTCTTGTAATAAACGACACATTGTAACCAATTTGGTCTGAATAATATTGTCTTGCTGGTAGGCAACTTCTTCAGGTAATGAGAGGACTGTCGGTCAATTTGGAAGTAATAAACTCAACCACCTTGTTATCTCAATGCTCTACTTCCATATTGTGACTGTCTTAGTGCGGCGGCAACAGATTTCTGTAGAGTTTAATTAAGAGGCAAACAATATCATTATTATACGACCGGCTCATACCAAATTCAAAATTCTTTCTGAGTTGAGGAAAAAAAAAACTAAATAACTAATATTAAGGGTCTCAACACGTCGGATTCATTTAACCTTTTTAATTGATAGGGTTGTAACTATATTTGAGTCAGATTTTCTAGAACCGCTACAAATGAAAGTGATTTTGGTACCGTATTTCTCGGCTAATAAGTTGGTCGCTATTCGAAGCCCCAAACTTTTAGTCTGATTTTTTTTTTTTTATGTGGGGGGCGTCTTATTGGGCGAGTATGATAATTGTAATTTTTTCGGGGGGGGGGGGGGGGGGGGGTTGTTATTCAGTTATTCAATTCGGACCATAAATATCCTCCGCGGTAGCATTCCAACAAAACCCTCAATACGTATTCCAGATTCTAGTCCATTTGTGGTTTCTTACAAAATGCTATGAATGTCCATTATCTGATCTCGTAACTGCATGACAAATATAAAATCATGCCGATTCGTGTTATACACGAAATTGGATCAAGATCACAAAACGAGTGGAGTGGAGTGTGGAGCGAAAAAATGAGCATAGTATGAAGATTTAAATTCTTAGTATTTAGTGACAACTTTACAATATCCAAGAAAGTGGTGAAAATAGAACTTTGAGCAATGGTCGAGATTTATTGTTGACATATAATTCTTGTTTCAAATGATATATGAAAATACAGGTGGTATATGATTGTGTTCCTTAGTTAATTAAGCTTTATACATTGAATTGAAAACTTTGATTGAAAAGGTATGAGCATTCTCGCAAATATGCTGCATAAATGTATTTTATTTATGGTTAAATATGAAATGAACTATTTTTCTGGTTTCCGGTCACAACAATACAGAACAAACGACCCCTGCGTAATTTTCGTGTCGGAAACTTAATTTCACTATCATGAGTTCTGTGTGATATAATACGTAACGTAATTTACAGTATTTCAAACACTGCAAAACATTTGGAAATTCAAATGGGTATTATTTATCATATTTAAACTACTTTAAATTTACAAATATTTTTGCACGCTTTGTTTAATATTCAACTCTACTGTTTATTTGTTCGGATTAGACACAAATTTCATTGACAGGCTATTTTACCTATAAGCCTAAAGAATGACATTTAAAATATTGACGATGTAGGGGGCTCCCGAAGTATGCGAACCAAGATGGCGGACATCGGAATGTAATATGTGTACTAGGTTAGGGTTAGGCCATAATTTTAGGTATAAATACTACGGGAGGCTCTTGGCTAGTCTTCGAACTGATAATAGGACTAAAATAAGAAAAATTGGAAAAAAATTATCGCCTAACCCTAAACTGTTACCCATGTTACGTTCCGATGTCCGCCATCTTGGTTCGAATTAAACATTTCGCATTAAACATTAAACATTTTACGGTCAAAAATGAATGCTTTGATAAATAAATTACAATTGAAATACATAATCAATGTTTTAAATTGCTACAAAAATATATTCCATTAGAACGTAGAGCTACTTTCTAATCAAAATTAAACTAATGTTAACTACAAAATTTGCAGCAATTTATCGTTCATAAATGTGTAACAAGAAACGAAGTTCAAGTAAGAAATTCTTTGGATTAAATCTTAATTTAACAAGAATGT